TCACAAGGATGGGTCGGATACACAACCTGAAAACATAATGCCTCCGCATTATGCATCTATCACCGGCACAGACACAAAAAAAATCCATACCCTAACTTTCCCTCTGTAGTATGCATAAAGCTCCACTAATATTGCATTGTAACCTTAATGAAACATAGACTCTTGCTGCCTGGTAGACTACTTCACCGTCAGTCTATAAAGCAGACCAAACCGAGATAACCCTGACAGCATTACTAGGTATTTAATCGGACTTCAGAAAGCCCCTCCACTGTTTTTATTTTCTGAGTTGGAACTTCTGAGTAAACTGGTCTACATATCTAAAATCAGTGTAATAATCCTTTAAATTGTTGCACATACATATTTGTTCTCTTTGTCTCCATGTGATATTTTCTTAGCTCATGTTTTCACTAGATAATGTGGAAGAGTGTTGGTGAAAACCATGAGTGTGAGTCTATCTGCATATAAATACATGAGCATTACGCACCAATTTCCTCTATCACATATAGAAGTATCTGTACAATATTTTTAGACAATAGAGTAAGTCTGTCTGTCATTTCATTGTGTTTCCATCCTTCTGTCTATATTCTTGTCTCTCTGTGGTCTTATCCATCTGCAGAAGCTCTCTCGCCCCAGACCAAGCTGACCAAATATAGGAGGCAGTGGCAGCAGGGAACACTATGCTCGCTCTCTTGCTGTGGCACTCAGTACTGCTGTTTCATGACAAACTACACTGACAGAAAGAAAATAAAACAGCTGAACTGTCATCTACACATGCAAACAGAAGAATGTGTTTACTTCCTACTAGAAATGTGGGGGCACAAACACATCATACGCTCAAACACATTTATACAGTACATACAGATTAACACTTAAATAATGTCTTTGTATCTCTCTCTCACACATACACACACACACACATCCAGTCCATATTGGATTTACTTAAGACTCAGTAAAGCTTACAGAAGCGCTACTGTTTCCAACACAGGTCTACTGTGTTGCACAGAGAGGCTGTGACGTATCTATGTTTACTGCACAGAGAGCATTCCATTACAGATACATACACAAAGAAACATGCATACAAAAAATTTCTGACAAGTATGCACATATACAGTAAGCACAGACAAAAGCATACAGAAATATATAATAAATCATACAGGAGCTTCATCAAGCATAGAGATGACACAGACATAAACAGAGCATCAAACCCATTTCTTTCCAGATGGAGTTTGAGGGAAACTGAGTGATGAGCAGGAGAGACACCACCACATGCTGCGGTGCTGCCTGGGGTTTCAGACTGCAGCTCAGACTGAAAATGCCATTCTTTCATGAGTAGAAAATCACTGGAGAATGTTCGCAGCACAAAGCAAAATGTCCCACCATAATATCGCTTAAAATACCAGTTACAGTATCTAAAACAACACTGTAGAGGGGGCTGAGTTATTCATGAGCAAACACACACACACAGATGCAGGGTTAGTTGACATACCTGATGCTGTGGGTACTGCATCCCGCCCATGCTCATTTGGCCCCTCACCTGCATGCTCATTGGATATCGGTGTGGAGGAGGTGATGTGTATGGCTGGCTAGGTTGGTATGGCCCGCCCCCTGGCTGCTGTGGGGTGGAGTAGGGATTGTTGGACATGCCGTAGAGCTGCGAGCGCTTCATAGCCATGAAGTCCATGGAGGACACCTGTGGAGGAATAAGACTGATTAATGATGAGCACTTCCTTTTTAGCTCATTTTCACATTCACTCATGGCAGTGCTTCGCGAGTAGCTGAAAGACAGATAAAACTCTTCCACCATCTACCTATGCACCAAGTTGGAACCCCTGACAGAAATCCACGTAGTGCACACACTCCTAAGCACAGCCATTGCTGATTTATTTTTTAATTACGCAGCAAGTGAAAGCCTTAAATTAAAGTCTACAGGTCTTAAATGAACTACAGATAGAATTATGTAAGCATATACTATGTTTATTGCATAGTGACCAGATGCAAACTTTGCTGGAGGAGGGCCAAAACAGAGTGATTTAATTAAAACTTAAAGCTTATGTCTTTGTTTGTATATCTGAAAGGGCTTTAAAAGTGTTGTATATATTGTTTAAAGCAATCTGAAGTACTGTAATGGCAGTAAAGCTCCTATGGCTGTGTTCCCACAACCACAACCCAACGGTGCCAATAATCACAATACAGTGCTCCCTTCTCACTTGCTATGTTGTTGTTTACAACAAACTGGCAGAAATAGCAATTCTAACATTTTTATTGCTGCTCTTAAGAATTAAAATCAGAGAACAAAGAATATGGCCTGTCAGATACCCATAATTAACATCAAAGTTGTGACGAGGTACTTCAGGTGTACCATTTTGAGGGAATTCAGGACAGTCAAGCAAAGTCAGTCAGTCACAGCACCTTGCCTTCAAAGCCACACACTGGGAGCTACTGTAGCTTCTTATACGAACATAACAAAATCCAAAATAAGAAAGAGAACATGTCAAGGGAGATTTATTCCATTGTAAGTATTTCAGAAGTACTGTACCAGGGGTGTTTGGGGTCTCAGAGAGCCACTGGAAAATTCCTGTACAGTGTGATGGGCTAATGCTAATCTGTCACCCATAGCGGCATGTTTATCTGCCTGCTGGGCAGATAATATGGGGTTCTTCTATCTTCTTTCACATGTGATTTATGACATTTTGTTTCTTACACACACACTTTCACTTCTCCTCTCTCATCTTCAACTAACTGCCCCCCTGCCCTTACCTTCCTCCTCCCACTACCGCCACAGGATCCCTCCTCAGTTCCCTCTCTTCTCCCCAACTCAATATCACCTCATCTAGTGTAGAGGAGAAATTGCCGCTGCCTCATATTGCCAGGCTAATATCAAGAAGACATGTCAGGGGATGGGAGCACTTTATTCAGCAGGTTACGTGCGGACGGTTACGGCACTCTAGTTTTAAAGTGGTTTTGTCTACTGAGGCCTGTGCTCGGAGTAGTTTGGACTATTTCACAGAGTGTGGAGGAGAGAGAAGAGAAAAGTGTGTTTGGGTAGTGAGAGAGGTGGAGAAGAAAAGCCAGAGGGATAGGAAGGAGAACTCTTGGGTGTCTAAAAGGTATTCACAACATGTAGTGCTATAGTACTGTATGTATGCAGAGAGGGGGTTATCCTGCACAGGGAAAGATTTCAGCAGCTAATTAAAGTATTTGTGATGTGCTATAAAGTTGATGCAGATCATTATGTTTCTAAGGTAGTGTATTTTCACTAGAACAGAGGGCACCACGTGAGCTTAAATGTTTTGTATGCCCCAAAACACACAACAAGCCAGTCACATACAGTGTACATCAAGCAATATCTGCAGTGCAAGGGTGACGCTCTCCAGTTTAAGGGACTGCGGGGCATTATGCCACCATTTATATGGAACATGCACTCCCTCCCTATCCAGTTCAACAATCCATCTCAAGAGGTCCTCCATTTGCCAAAAATAATGAACGCAACTCAAGCAAATCCCTTCTCACGGCTGCTCAAACGTTAACTGCTGCACTTAGAAAGGACACCGAAAACAGCATGAGAGGTCTGGGACTGTAGTGCAGAAGTGTACACTCAATTAAACACACACATGCACAATCATGTGTATTAGAATTTTACACTAATGATTTCTCTCTCATACCACAAAACAGACATAATAAAATCATATAGAGCTAACCCTCTAATTATATAGAGAGACCAACCAATGCATCATAATGCATTGGTTGGTCTTCCACATGTGGCATTATCCACACCTGTCCACAGAGCCCAAAATAAATAAAAAGACAGAGTATTCTCTGCCTCCCCAAACAGAGCCTTACAGTATCTGCTCTCATGACAAGATCCACTAAATGAGATTTCAGCCCACTGCAGCCTTTTCTTAAAGATATGCCCACCATTTCCCTCACACCACCAGGCACAAAAAACACAATTCTTGACAAATTGAAACATTTTCTTTTCCCTCCCCTCAGAGAAATGGCTGTACTTAGGGAAAAAAATTATGAATATGACACAAAGTGAATTGTGTTTGTGCCAGGAGGGACGGCAGATAAAAAAAAAAACTAGAGGAAATGCACAGAAATTGTTTTTTATTTTCTTCCAATGTGTTTTTCACTTTTGTTCATCTGGGCACATCATTCAGTGGAGGAGGAGGAGGAGGAGGAGGCATGGGAGACAATAGTAATTCAACTGCTAAATTTAAAATTCAATTTATGAACTCCTCTCCAGCGTTCTGACTCTGGTGAGCTTTTTTTTTCTTCCCCAAAACAAAGCCATTAAAACAGAACATGGATGAAATTATTGCATTACTGTGGGGTGAAACCTGCTAAATTGCTTTTCTAAGCTCAATCAACAACATTTTTATGTTGCAAAAATGATTTTACTCCTCGCTTTAATGTGCTAAGTTGTTAATCAGAAAGAGGTGCAATGCTCGACACAAAAGGCTCGGGTATGTGGATTATGAAACGCACACTGGGATCAAACAAAATAAAACAATATTGGTAAATGGCTGCTCTTCCAATCTCATTTGGAATGCGGGAATTATTTTTTGAAAAATTTGATTTTTCAGCCTTGGTGAATGAAGGTGCAGGAAGAGGGCTGACACACAAAATCTGACTTACACGCTGTGTCCATGTGGCTATTGCTACCCTCATCCTTCACACTAGATGACTGAATCATCACCTGGCTGCACCAGCCCTTCATTTCAGTTATTTATAATCCACACACACAGAGGAAACAGTGATAGAGACAGGGTCACCCACTAAGTACAGTACAGATACTTCTAGGTCTGCTGTGTTTCTGCTACAATCCTCAGTCCTTTCTTACTAACTCACAGCAGTCCTTATACAACTAACACCGCGGTAAAAAATGTTCCTTCACCTGTTCTTCTTTATAGACTACAAGCTACTTTATTGAGCGACAGCTACTTCAAAAATTGTTTGAAACGCGAAAGAGCAATTTAGTGACCCATTATGATCCCTTATATCACCCAGTGGTTTAATGCAGTCTCGAACAACAGATTTTTCCTGTTGGAAAGGTGCCCTACACTTCAGTGGGCTTAGCTGCTCGGATACTCCCGGGACTTCAGTGTTATGCACAACAGGATTCATATTTTTCAGTTATTAGGTGTAAAGACCTATTGCCACTCACATGGTGCAAATTAGTGTCATGTGAAAATGACACAAAAAGCACACATTAAACCTGATTGTGTATGAAAATTAGCCCCAAGATGACTTTTTGGTATTGATTATTTTCTCTTTTTCTTGGAGCGACTAGTGCAGAATGCCAGCTTTTATTCTTGTGTAATGAAGCCATTTTAGCTTGTGTGTATTTGTGAGGAGAAACAAATAAGGATAATTATTGTCAATGGATCCTCTTTATCCTCTGTGCTGTCTGTCTCTGGAGAATCAACATACTGCAGCCAGAGCTGGATAGTCTGCTGGGACAATCAGCCTTGTCTTTTATGTTACTTATGCCAAGCAGCAGAGCACTCCAGTTCTTTTTTACACTGCGGGGCCCAGAGATGCCTTGGCCTCCAGAGCAAAGCTCTGCATTTCAGGCTTGAAAATCTGTGCTTTTTGGCCTTTGGGAAGGCAGGAAAAACAACAACAACAACAAAATGGGTGGGAAGATATGATGGGAGAGGAGGAGAGGTGGAGGGAGAAAGAGGAGAAGAGAGACTGCAGCAGTGGGAGAGTACAGATCGAGTTCCATATTAATGTGTGCAAATTCCCCCCGCTCCTGCTGACTAAGATTAGAAAAATTAATTTCATGGATGCAGAGACAATACTGATGTCATCAAGCGTAGAGGAGAGAGGAGCCACACACTGTTAACTCCTCCCTGCCTGGCCTCCTTGAGGAATAAATCACTCTTTAGTATCAGTTGATGACTTCATTTTGCTGCCAGGATTCATACAAGTTTAACTAAATACTAAACACTGACAACAATACACACAGTGGGCTTTGACAGGTCTGTTTTTCTCTATTTATCCTGTCCTAAAAACAGAACTTGTTGTTTAAGTGTGTGATGAAGTAGCTGAGCTATGTGCACGGTGGTGTTCCCATGTGACTGCTGCATCGACCAAATTCAGTAAATTATGTCTTGAAACATAATCTCATCCTGCATCTCAGCACGCGTGCCTTGTTAGTAAAAAGTCTCATAACGAATGACAGTGTGAAGAGTAGCGCTGGTCTGTGGGGAGCTGGGTAGAGCCAAATTGCCTTTCTTCAGTCCAGTATGCCTGGATGGCATAAAGGCTGGCTAGAAATAGGAAGTGTGAAATTATCTTAGGAGAGAGAGAGGTGCAGCCACAGAGGAGACAGGGGGAACGTATACTTACACAGTGTACTGTACTGTACGTCTGGCAACGATGCTGAGTTGAGAAAGAAAGGCAGATAACAGGCGTGTTGTTATGCAGTCAATCAGTGTGCTTTTGTGTTTGGCGCACTGCACATAATTGGTTTCTCTTCGGCGACGTGCTTGGAGCCGGCGATCAGCGTGCCCTCTGTGTTTGACACCAGTATTTATGCCACACATTCACATACACTCAGAAACACATGCATTCCTATTGATTTGCCAAATCTTTATTGTATTTTACCAAGTTGAATATATGGTGTACCATTTTGCTGGTTGCTAACTGGAACAGTCCTCTTTGTTTGGATGGCATCTCTTC